TTTAAATTTATTAGGGTACACAATATGTCACCACAGCAGGCCTCTTACACAAGGCACTGAGATGAGGAAACAAGAAGCTGGAGCCTGGAGAAGCCAGGCCAGTCAAAATCTGAGCCCCATTTGGCACCCATTTTTTGACTGCACTTTCCCAGCACACCCTCACACCTCCTGTGGGTGCCACTGTCTTATAGTTCAAAGGAAGCCAGATCAACTGAGGTCGTCAGCAAGGTGGGTCAAGAATGTAGCCTGAGCATTACGGAGGGAATGAGTGTGCTGTTTCCTCGTGGGGACAGAAGGCGGAAAATGGAACCATGAAAGATTTATGGCCATTGTTATTATGAGCTCTGTTGAGACAGGAAGAGGCTAGCAGGAGGGGAGCAGTGTGGTGGCCTTCAGGGGACCCAGAGGGTTCCAACAACTCATCGCCTCTGCCGCCTGTGTGGATGTGGTTACTGAACAGATACAGGTTCATCCTTTTGTCTTTCCTCTGCCTTTAATAAATCAAGAAGACTGGCCAGGGCTGGGGCCATGCACCTTAAACACACACACACACACACACACACACACACACACACACCCACACACACACACACACACACACACACACACACACACACACACACACACACACGAGAGCGATAGTTAGCAGTCAGAGACCCTTGCTACTTCCATTTTGTTAATATGCCCCCCATGCCAGGTAGACGACCCCTTGGGAGAGCAAAGACAACAACAGAGTTGGAACATCTGGGGCAGGGGCGGGGCTCTCTGACAAGACGGGGCAGAGGTGGCTGGGGAACACAGAGGCTGAGCTCCTTCAGGGATGTGTGTAAATAGAGTAAAAGCCTTGGGGATGGAGAACCATGGAGGTCTAAATTCCCAGAGAGGGCAGACAGGGCTGGGAGCTGAGGAAAATGGGAATTCAGAGAAGAGGGAGGGATCCTAGTGACCTGAGAGGCTCTTTTAAGGGGTGGAGAAGGGAGATGGGGCAGATCCTGTGCAAGTGTCTTCCACCGAGGCCTGCTGATGTACTATACTGAGGACCATGAGAGCCAGAAGCCACTCATGAGGACAGAGGGCGAGCCAGGGTAGCTGAAGGCTAACACTGAGTTCTAGGCTAGTGGGAGGTCAATAAGCAGGGTTTGCTGTGGGCCATTTGGTCCTAGCCATGGCTGGAGCGTCTCAGGGACAGCAGAGAAAGCCCTATGGTGAACCATCACTGATGGCGGCCCCAGTGCTGTCCTTGCTTTTTGAGCACTCTCAGATGCACTGTGATGAAGCAGACCAGTGAAACTCCACAACATTGCCTTTGCTCAAACCCTCTCAGAACACACTCGGCCAGCACTGACGCTGACAGGCGGCGAGCTCTTTATACACTGAACGGCACAGCTGTGAGGAGGTGCGCAACCGCTACAACTCACTTGTCATGCAAACCGTGCCTCGGGAAGAAATAAAATACTATTATGTGGTCTATGTGTTAGGCAATCACTATATCAAACCCATGGCATTCCGTGCAAACACAGGCAGAGAAAGGGAAAACAACACTTGGTGAGAGAAATCACACCGCATGGGAGCAGCTAAGTCGGGGAGAAGGGGAGGTAACGACAGAAGCCGGCCAGCGGAGGCTGTAATTTTCCCAGGCAGGTGGCCAGCACTGAACACTCGTGGGGTAGAACAAGGGGCACAACAATGACACCCTGACAGAGGAGCAGGGCCCTGCCCGGGGGCCGGGGAGGGCAGGGAGGGCCGTGGGGGCAGCTGGGTAGAGGGGGCTGGGAAGAGAACTGAATGAGCGTTGGAGCCCCAGGAACGGCTAGAAGGGAGGTGGTGAAGGAGGTGGACGGAGAGGAGAGGGTGGTGGGAACAGGAACGAGGCTGCGGACTGTCTCTTTCCGGTTGTCGAGCTCGCCTGCTTCTCAAGATCCGGGATTCCCATCAAGACCTCTCATGTAACCAAACCACTGCCCCACCCCACCAAGGCTCCCAACAGCTGCAAAGATTGGGGTGAGGGAGGAGGGTGTTCAAGGCCCTGTCCTGGGGACCTAACACAAATCACTCTCTAATCCCACCGGAAGTTCTGGGAAACAAGCTAGAAATGTTAGCTGGAAATGATCACACACTGGACGGTTTGCAGACTGGAAATCAAACCGCAAAGCTCTGCGGCTCCTCCGCTAAAGCAAAAACGACAGGGCCCAGGGGTCTCCCGACCCCACCTTCTACCAGAGTTCCACCAGGTGCCACAAGCCTTTTCTGACCAAACATCTGCCCATGGCAGCCCAGGACATGGAGACCCCGTCTCCACAGCCGATTTGGAGTCACCTTGTAACAAGTCTGTTGTGGACTATACTTCAATTGGGCACAGATGTGTTACACTTGCCTGTGCGGCATTTGTTCAATTATGTAAAGATGTGTTGCATTTGTTTTACCTTGCCTGTCTAAGGCACCTGATTGATCTAATAAAAAGCTGAATGGCCAATAACTAGGCTGGAGAGAGATAGACGGGGCTGCCAGGCAGACAGAATAAATAGGAGGAGGAATCTAGGCTCAAGAGGAGAATGAGAGAGAAGAAGGGAGAAAGAGAGGGAGGCACCCAGGGCAGCCAGACAGACAGCCATGGAGTAGGATATACAGAAGGAAAGAAAGGTAAAAAGCTCTGAGGCAAAATGTAAACAAAGAGAAACAAGTTAAGTTATAAGAACTAGTGGGACAGGCACAAGATAAGGCCGAAGTTTCACAATTAATAAGAAGTCTCTGTGGCCGGGCGGTGGTGGCGCACGCCTTTAATCCCAGCACTCGGGAGGCAGAGGCAGGTGGATCTCTGTGAGTTCGAGGCCAGCCTGGTCTACAGAG